ATTTTCATCCACTTATATTATCTCCTACCTCGGAAATGTATGAACTTAAGAAGGTTTATTATTTATCAAATTCATTCTTTAATTCTGAAGCTATTCTTGTATTGCCAGAAGCAAAATTAAAGCACTGAATCCCCCTCCCATACCCAGCCCAGATTTAAAAAAAAATATAATAAAATCATAATCGGAATTGTAGCTCCTTACATAAGCAAACACACATGTTTTGAGCTTAATAGTTCTTGTCTTATTTAGATAAATGATATGTTCAATTGTGAATGCCATTTGGCCATAAAGTTATGGTGCACTTATTGGCATCTTCTGATTAAAGTGTATTTAAAGGTTAAGTTTCAATTATGTTATACATTTTATAAAAGAATATTTTTGGAATAAACAAATTGTAAAAATGCATTAAGTGTTTAAAATAAAAAAATAAAATTGTTGGTGCATTATTATCAATTTAAAGGCAATCAATTATATTTATTAATTTTACTTTTGTTAAGTGGAAAGTACATTATCAGTTTTTCAGACGCGTTTATTAAATCAAAGAAACCTAGACCTTTGGCTCAAATAGGCAATTAACTCTAAGACGGAATCTGCCTGTTTATGTAGAACAAATTAATTTTTAATTTCTTTTGCAAAATAAAACACGCATTAAAAACGCACTAAAAACTATAGTTGCAGTGGCGTAGCGAGGGGGGTGCGGGGGGTGCGGACCGCACCGTGTGACACCATTTTAGGGGTGACACCCAATTGAAAAATGGCATATGTACAGAGCACACTGAGCACTCACAACCGAGATTAATAAAATGTTAAATGATCATACATACATTTTTTCACAAATGTAACCAATCCAAAATGCGTGCTTTATTTAAAGTTTAAGGTCGATGCTTTGATAAGTGCTGGAAACTGAGCCAAAAATTACAAAATCATGAGGCATCGGAAGAGCACCTTGTTGCCGTGAAAAGTTGAAAGCATTGGCAGCATGACTTAGTATACACAAAACAATTGATGCCGAAACTATTGCTGTGATGGACAGGGAGAAGACAAAGTGGAGGATATCCTGCACAGGTTGCTGGATATCACATTGTTTCTTGTTTAGTGGCCACAACAAAGTTGAATCTTCACTTAAACCTTCTTTAAATGGTTGAGATGCTATCTCAATATGACCCAGTGCTAAAAGAGCACCAAATGAGACTAAAGATGAGTTTATCTCAGAAAAAGCATCCGCATCTTACCTTTCACCAGAAACCCAAAATGAATTTATAATAAATGTCCTTGCAAATCATGTGAAGGAGAATCTTATCATGGATATAAAGGCTGCGAGTTATCTTGGAATTATGCTCGAAAGTACACCTGAAATATCACACAGTGACTAGATGTCCGAAGTGATCAGATATGTGAAAATCAACAAATTGGAAGTTGAAGTGAGAGATGAGTTCTTGCATTTTTCCCGTTAAAAGGGGAAAAAGCTGATGACCTCACCTCTGAAATTCTTAAAAATCTAAAATGTTATAGATTATAAATAATGATTTTCAGAGCTAAAGGTTACGATAATGCTGCCACAATGTCTGGAATCCATGGAGGTGTTGAGGCCATTATGAAAGAAATATCAAAAGAAAGCAATTTTTAATATATGTGTGGGCCATTCACTTAACTTGTTGGTCAAAACTCTTTTGCAGAAAATGCTTCATGTATTACATTTTTCGGTAATCTTGAAAGAATAGTTTCCTTCTTTGCTGCATCCACTCATCAATGGAATGTTCTAATTGAACACACTGGGGTGTCGTTGAAAAGAATGTCAACAACGCGTTTGAGAGCTCATCATGCTGTTGTTAAAACAGAGAAAGATGAGTTTGATGAATGTGTGGCGCTGATTGAAGCTCTGTGTAATCCTCTTGAAAATTCAGATACAAGAGTTCCGCACAAGGTCTTTACATGCTGTCTGTGATTTCACGTTTATAGGCTACCTCTACTTTTGGGCTGATCTACTCGAGGAAGTTAATCTTACACAGCAGTATCTACAGACTAAAGGCTTTACTCTTGACAAAGTGGTGATAAACCTAGAGGCCTTAAGATTGTTTCTCTATGAGAAGAGGCGTCACTTGATGGAATATGCTATTGAAAATGAACTTTTATAATCAGACTAATATGGAATATCGGTAGAGAGAAGATTAAGGTTGAAGAAGAGAATGGCAGGAGAACAATTAATAGATGCTGGACTGTTTCTGCGGGAAGAAAACAGTAGGGAATCCTTGCTTGTATTGATCGCTTTCATTCTGAAAGCCAGATCAGATCATTAGCGTCCAAGGAAGTAGCAGATTTTTTGGGGCTGTTCAACCAGAGAGTCTAGTATCAGCAAATGACGAAGAGTTATTGGTGTCTGTACCAAAATTAACCTATTTCTATGATGAGTTATTAGAAGATGAATTTTAAAAGAAATACCAAGGCCTAGAAGACATCTAAAGGCAGCTGATATTGATTTTCACAAATTCAAGGAATGGTCAGTATTTGATGTTTTGAAATTCATAGCTGAATGGGACCTCCTAGAATCCCCTCCAATACTCTCGCTAAGCCTTTTACTTTTTCTTACAATATGTGTGTATATGGATTCTTGTGCACAGAGCTCATCAAAACTACGGCTTATCAAGAAATATGTATGATCCACCATGGGAAAGTCTAGGCTTTCTGATGCGACTCTGCTAGTAATTGGAAGGGATACAGTGAAAGACATTGAGTTTGATCAAGTTATTGACAGGTTTGCAGCATTGAAGACACGTGATGGACAATTTTAAATAAAGTAAATTGAATGTATAAAAAAAACCTATAGCTTAACTTTGTTACAGATTTAAATACATTGACCTAATGACCTTCGATGTATGTGTTTTTGTTCTTGTCATTCTTATATGGTGGATTTATTTTAACAAGATGAAATTCATCATTGAAGTTTGGAGGTGGGGGGTGACACCATGAGGGGTGACATCATGAGTTTACCGCACCGGGTGACACCAACCCTGGCTACGCCACTGTATAGTTGTATGGGTTTTCTCGATCAATTGTATAACTATGTAATTCTTAGTTATATAAATATATATATATATATACATATATTTTGTTTAACTTTCAAGATCGAATAAAATGCTTAATTTAGTGCTTCGGGGTGATTTTAAATGTATTCGTAATTTATAATTATTACACTTTTAACAATTCCCAAAATGAATTGGACATATTGTATTATTTTGCACATTTAAATTGATTTAATTGCCGTAACAATCTGAAAGTATTTAAATCGTTTCATTTCTTTGTCGTTATGGTCAGCCTGGCTCATTATATATATATATATATATATATATATATATATATATATATATATAAATATATATGTATATATATATATACATATATATTAGTGACCCCCCCCCCCCTTTTTATAATACTTGATTGTATTTATATTAATTACTAAATTGGAATAATTATGAGATTCAATTTTGTAAATGAAGATTACCTTTAAAAATTACAATTGATCTAAATACATTTATATATTTTTTAATAAAAAAAGAAGAACAAAAAATGTTGTAACATACCAATAAAATATAAAAGAAACAGGGTTTTAGCAATGATCTTTCCAGCCATGGTCTGAAAAATATTTTTAGAACTATAAATGTAAACAAGAAAATAATTCAGTTTTGCTCTTTAAATACCCATTAAATTAATGTAAAACACAATTTATTGGTTCACAAAACAAATATCTTTACTTTATTAATTTGTCTTTAATTTTATCTGTGTGCTATTTTTAGAATTTTGCCGTAAAATAAAGTTAAGTAAAATTGTTTTAATAGATAACCGTTACATCGTAGGTGCCTTTAATAAGTATCTTAAATCGCCAAAAACATAGTTTTCTCAAAATCCTTCATGAAATGTAATATCGAACAATGGTGGCTTTGGCTGAAAATTTGACAAATCATGCATACCATTAGCGCACTTTCTAGGAATCAAAATGAGCTCTCCAACCCCCCCCCGCCCCAAGACTAGCAAACGCATACCTTTTCACGCCCCTTAAATATATTAACATTCTAATGACCAGCCCGCTTTTACTCTGCATATTTATTTGACGTGTTATTTCAGAAAAAAAAAATTCTATTAGGAATCAACAGTAATTGCGATCTTCTAAAAAGAATCGTATTTAGCGCATTTATCTTGTTTTTATTTTGAGACATCGGTGTTATAATAATATATCCTTCCTATAAAAACAAGAGCACTGATTTTGGGAGTGGAACTGTAGGGATAAAAATAATTTGATATAAAGTGCTGTCAAATGGAATATCCTCATCAACATAAGTGGCTCAAATGCCCGTATAGTGCCCTAGCCTGCTCCAACGTCATTATCTATAACTGGACCATTTTTTTCTGAGGATTTTCTCTCTTATGTATTGATCAAGGTCTCTGATTTTCTTGTAAGGGACCAAGTCTCACTAGCGTAAGTTACGACCAGTCTTATGATAATGGGGATATTGTCGTTAGTGACCGTCATATGTATGAACCAAGTAAGTTTGTTGGGGACTCCGAATTCCTCTAATCCATTGTATAGGTAAGTCCTTTCTATCCTTTCGTTTTCTGTTTTGCAATCCACTTATAGATGAGACATCTTATAGTAAAAATATGAACTTTGATTGACCTAGTCTTCTGTAATCCGCATGATAAAACTCCTATAGCTTTGAGGTAATGTTTCTTAGAAGAAATATAATTTTTAAAAGATAAATGTATCAAAATTGTAAATGAAAATGAAAATACAAACATATTTCTATCCCATTTTTTAACAATATATTTCTTTCAGGAAACATGACAATTAATAAATGAGGAATAACTTCTTTGAAAAGTTGCATTAGAAAAATAACCAGAAGGGATATTTCCTACCTTTCATGAATTGTAAACACAGTCTGCGACATTACACACAACTTGCAAGCCTGTTATATTTAGTATTTACTTCCTGTTAGAATATGTTGTTCACAACCAATGGGTATTTCTCTTAAAATAGATGACCTAGAGGTGTCTTTAAAATTCGTGATTCTGTTTAAGCAAATATTAATTACAATAAGTTTGAAAAATGAATTTGTCAAGCTAAAATCGAAGTGTTAATACTATTTTTAGAAAAGGTAGGTACATGTATATGCCTATAAATTATGACAAATATATAGCTAAGCAGTTGTATAGCTATAGATCACGTATGCTTATCTCGGATAGTTTTCCTGTGTGTAATGGTTGTCTGGGGCATCAGTACACATTTGCTTTCTTTTTAGTTCTTTTTCATATGAAGATACTACAGCTCTCTGTTGTCTTTTAACATGCGTCTTTCTTTTCAACGTTTGAATTTGATAGGAAGCCTCTTAAAATGATATCTCCGGAAAAAGCCAATGTTTCTACGGTTATTCAATCAAGACAGGCTGTTTTTTTTAATTGGACGTCCATATAGCATTACGAAAAATAGGAAATTATTAAGATAAAGTAAGGTCAAATCTGAAAAAAGAAACTCAAATAAACAACAAACTTGTCAACAGAAGACACTCGTTAGGGAAAATTTAAAAAAAAAAAATAGCCCCTAGTTGAAAAGTAGTATCCAGGAAAGTAGCAAAATAAATGCATATATATATGTATAGCAAAAAGCTTACCAGTTGGTGAAAGAACTAACCACTGCAAAACAAGGACGTGGTACTACCATACATGATAAAAATGGTAAATGTTTAACCGAGGAAAATGATATCATAAAACGTTGGACTGTTTAGAGCTGTATAATGAAAGTATAAAGATAGATCCAGAGATCTTTATGTCCAGACAATGATAACAACTCTATTATCCGCGCAGAAGTAGAAGCAGCAGTCCAAGCACTCCAAACACGAAAGGCTGCAGGAGCGAATACTATCCCTGCCGAGTTGGTGAAGCAAGGAGGAGAAGCAATGATAAGTGTCTTATTCAATACTTATTCAATACTTGTAACAAAATATGACTTACAGGAGAATTGCCAAAACCATGGACCCAATATCTCATTATCATCCTCCCCAAAAATGTAACATGCCAAAACTTTCGCATCTTTAGCCTAATAAGCCATCCAAGCCAGGTCATGCTGAAGGTCATATTGAGCCAATTAAAACTATATGCCGACAGAATCATTGTTGAAGAACAGGACGGGACACTACTGAGCAGATTCTAAACCTCTGAATACTGTGTGAGAAATATGCTAAACACCAACAAAACCTATACCACGCCTTTGTGGACTTTAAGAAAGCATTGGACAGGGCTTTATGGGCCACCATGAGGCACTACAACTTCAACACAAACCTCACCAGAATGACGTGCAAATCTATGATAAGGCCACCAGTGCAGTCTTCCTCAACAACTACATCAAAGAATGGTTTAAGACCACGGTTGGTGTACGGCAAGGATGCCTGCTCTACCCCACCCTGTTCAAAATCTTCCTAGAGAAAATTATGTAAGATGCTCTGGAAGGGCGTGATGGGACCGTCAGCATAGTGGCAGAAAAATCACCAATCTACGCTTTGTGGACGACATAGACGGACTGGCTGGAAATGAAGAAGACCTAGACAACCTGATAAAGCGTCTCGATGAGACCTCGTCAACCTGCGGCATGCTAATTAGTGCTGAAAAAACAAAACTGATGACAGATTACACCACAGTCATCATCACTGATATTAAGGTCGAGATGGAAAGATTAGAGACTGTAGGCCAGTTCAAATCAAAAGTCTCAGAAGAAGGCCCCAAGCCCGAACTGATGTCCTGGATTGCGCAGATTACAACAGCACTAAAGAAGCTCAAGACAATATGGAGTGACACAAATATAGACCCCAGCACATAAGTCCTCTCCATGTTCCTGCATGCCTGCGAATCCTAGACATTAACAGCTGATTTTTAAAGGGAAATAAAGGCGATGGAGATAAGATGCTTCAGAAGCATTTTTGGTATCTGCTTTATGGACCATATCTCCAATGATACAGTGAAAGAAAGGCTTCGCCAGGTAATTGGGGAGTAGGATAACCTACTGGTGACTGTGAAAAAAACGCAATTACAATGGTACGGCCACGCAACAAGGAAAAAAGGGTTTGCCAAAGAAATATTGCAGGGCACCACAAGAGGAGGGAGAATAAGAGGAAGACAAAGAAAAATTTGGGAGGATAACATCAAAGAGTGGACAGGACTAACTCTGGGCGATGCTGTTCGTAGTGCAGAAGACAGAGAGGAATGGAGGAGGATAGTTCACATGTCCTCTGTGGCGCCTCTATGGTCCAAGGACTAAGGCACTTGATGATGATGATGAGGATATGTGTGTCATATATATAAAATTATATATATCATATATATATGTCTGTGAATTCCACAAAGGCTTTTAGGTGGATTGATGGGTCTTGACCAAACTTGGCATGTATATCCATCAGTATCCAGAAGGAAATCTTAAGGGGTTATAATATTTTTGTAACATTCCGTTTGGGGCCGTTTTATGTTGAGCCTTCTCGTCCATGAGGGGCATCCACCGATCATCGTCGGCGTCTGCGGTTCCTCCAAGGGCATAGGCCACCTACGAGAGACCTCCAGGCATCTCTATCCTGGGCCAGCTTCTCCAGGATCTTCCATTCATGGCCAATTTTCTTGATGTCTGTCTCCAATTCTCGGCGCCAAGTGTTTCTTGGACGGCCTATTTTCCGCTTACCCTGTGGGTTCCATTTCAGGGCTTGCTTTGTTGTGTTAGAAATAGGTTTTCTTAGTGTATGACCAATCCACCTCCACCGCTTCAGGAGAATCTCTTCCTCAATGGGTTTCTGTTTTGTCCGCTGCCACAGTTCCTGGTTGCTGATTTTGTCTGGCCATTGAATTCTGAGAATCCTTCTTAGACAGTTGTTGATGAAGGACTGGATTCTGGTCAGGTTTACGGCCGTTGTTCTCCATGTCTCAGCTCCATATAGCAGCACAGGTTTTACCATCAAGTTAAAAATCCTTACTTTTAACTTGCTGCCTAAGTTGTTAGAGACCCAAACATTCTTGAGTTGTTGGAAGGCTGCTCTTGCTTTTCCTATCCTTATTTTGACGTCCGCATCTGTACCACCTTGTTTATCTACCATGCTGCCAAGGTAAACAAAACTGTCCACCTCCTCAAGGGCTTCTCCTTCAAGCATAATGGGTGATGTACTGGTGGCATTAACCTTGAGGATTTTACTCTTCCCTTTGTGAATGTTGAGACCCATGCTAGCAGAAGTGGCTGCGACAATGTTTGTTTTCTCCTGCATCTGTTGTTGGGTATGTGCAAGAAGTGCAAGATCATCAGCAAAGTCAAGATCATCCAGTTGATCCCACAAGGTCCATTGGATGCCATTTCTTTTCTGCTGTGTAGATGTTTTCATCACCCAGTCAATGGCTAACAGGAAGAGGAATGGTGACAGCAAGCAACCTTGTCTCACACCAGTCTTCACCTGGAAAGCATCTGTCAACTGCTGGCCATGGATAACTCGGCAGTTTATCCCTTCGTACATGTTTCTGATTATATCAGTAATCTTCTGTGGCACCCCGTAATGCCTTAGCAATCTCCACAGGGTTTGCCTGTCAACACTGTCGAAGGCTTTTTCATAGTCAACAAAGTTGACATAGAGCGGCGAGTTCCACTCTAGTGACTGCTCTAGAATGATGCGCAGTGTCGCTATCTGGTCCGTGCAGGATCTGTTGGTGCGAAAGCCGGCTTGTTCGTCCCGCAACAGAGGGTCTACAGCGTTTTTCATCCTGTTAAGTAGTACACGGTTGAAAACCTTTCCTGGGATGGACAGCAGGGTGATCCCTCTGTAGTTCGAGCAGGAGCTTAAGTCTCCCTTCTTTGGGATCTTGATAAGGTATCCCTCTTTCCAATCGGAAGGAACTTGCTCCTCTTCCCATATCTTCATAAACAGAGGGTGTAGCATTTCCACACTGGTTTCCAGGTCCGCCTTCAGTGCCTCTGCTGGGATGCCATCAGGTCCCGCAGCCTTTCCATTTCTGAGTTGTTTAATGGCCCTGCTAATCTCTTCTTTGGTGGGACTATTACAGTCAATTAGCAGGTCATTATCGGCTGGTTGGATATCTGGTGGATTTCTTGGTTCAGGCCTGTTCAGGAGCTCTTCAAAGTGCTCCTTCCATCTCCCTCTCTGTTGCTCCTCACTTGGTATGGTGTTTCCCATTTTGTCCTTCACTGGTCTCTCTACCTTGCTAAATTTCCCTGACAGCGTCTTAATGGTATCAAACAGTTCCCTCATGTTCCCTTGGTGAGCTGCATCCTCTGCTTCTTTAGCAAGTTTATCAACAAATTCCTTCTTGTCCCTCTTGATGCTTTTCTTAACTTCCTTATTTGCATCTGCATACTCCTTCTGGGACTTGTTTTTCTGTGGTCTATGGTGTGGCTGTTATTCACTTCTGATTTCTTTCTTTTCCTTTCTTCTATTTTATTTAGCGTACCTCCTGTCATCCATTCCTTGTGTGCCTTTTTCCTGTTTCCTAGCACTTCTTGACATGTTGACTGGACCGTTTCTTTCATGCTTTGCCACTTTCCTTCGGTGGTTTCATCTTCAAGTAGTTCTTGTAGGACTTGGAACTTATTGAATAGTGAAATTCTGAATTCTTCATTTTTGGCTTGGTCCTTCAGGAGGGAGGTATTATACCGAGTCCTGTATGCTGTTTGCTCGGTATAATGTCTCTTTAGTTTTAATTTCATCCTGGCTACAAGAAGATGATGATCTGAGGCAATATCAGCTCCCCTCTTAACACGTACGTCTTGGAGAGATCGCCTGAATTTTTTACAAATACATACATGGTCTATTTGGTTCATCGTTCTCATGTCCGGAGAGACCCATGTAGCTTTGTGAATCCTCTTGTGCTGGAAAATGCTCCCCCCTATGACCAGGTCAGCTGTGGCACATAGGTCCGCAAACCTCTCACCATTGTCATTCATCTCGCCTATCCCTTGCTGTCCCATAACCTCTTCGTACCCTGTGTTGCTATTGCCGATCTTGGCATTAAAGTCTCCCATGAGGATGACGATGTTCCTCCGTGGGTGACCCTGGACTATGGTCATTACTCTATCGTAGAATTCTTCTTTGTCTCCTTCATCAATTTCATTAGTTGGTGCGTAGCATTGTATAACATCTAGGTTGATGCTACGTTTCTTTGTTCGAAAGGTTACTAAAAGAATTCTAGATCCATGGGCCTCCCATCCAATGAGTGCTCCTTGTGCTGCCCTTGATAGCATCATAGCAACACCCAGGGTATGTGGGGCATTGTCTTCTTCGTGTCCCGAAAATATCACCATCTCTCCTGAGATTAATCTCTTCTGTCCCCATCCAGTCCATCTTGCTTCACTAATTCCGAGAATGGTGAGCTTATAGCTCCTCATCTCAGCGGCTATTTGTGCCGCTTTACCAGCCTCGTACATGGTGCGGACATTCCAAGCGCCAATGACGGTGGTAGTCCTGGTAGAGATGATGGTTGTCGGCCTAATAGCTTCCAGGTTTCGGCTTTCACTATTAGGCGTCATATTTTCCTCCTCAAGGAATCCATCCTCTCCCAGGACTGAAATGTCTTTTGTTACTCTTTTCGGTGCTTTTGTAACTATGATTTTTACATGGCAGGGTTGTTGGCCTTGCGCACAACCACTTGGGGGGTTGCCCCTCACAGCTCAATGGGTAGCTGCCTTTGTTCAGGTTAGGTCCCTAGCCTTTGTGGATCCCTCCACTTCCTACACGCATAAGTTAGCTTTTATATGTTATATTTCAAATCGTTTTCAAATTGCTGTTACACTTTTATTTTTGTGCATTTATATTATTTAATTAGTATGATTATAGATTGATAATTTCTTCTCTTACAGCACAAAAAAGAACAAAATACACTATTATGAAGAAACTTTTTTCTATCAATGCCAGAATTATATTGATATGTTTCTACTTTGGTAAGTTTAAAGTCAAAAATAAATATTTTTAAACAGAATAGTCTCTTTATAACATTAATACATCTCTTTAAAAATAAATTTTTTAAGTATATGTATTTTATGCAATAAGCAAAAAGAAATTTCAATTGTACACATTTGAATAAGTTGTAGGTAAATTAAAAAATTTTATTCTTTAAAATTGATCAAATATGTCAGTAAAAATTGTTATTCCTTTAAGTTAAAAGTTATATTATATAAAAAAATTACATATATTTAAAGAAAAGAAATGATAAATTTAAAATAATAAAAACTTTAAATATATAAACCATAAAGGACAACTCTACATATTAAGATAAAAAAAATATAGCTTCAATGTGTGAATTTTGTTTTGGCCGAATAGAATGGTGAAACTGAAAAAAAAATAATTATACAACTACTTTGTCAAGGATGGTTTTTAAGTATACCACTTTGATTATTCGTTCTGTCACCAAAACGTTATGGCGACTATTTTAGGAAATTTTATGTCCTAAGTTATGTTAGAAAAAAATATGTTTTATGCGCGAAAAAATTATTCATGTTTTAAATAACCTCCAATGTGATGAACAATTTTGGACGCTTAACGGGTTTTGAATTCTTTTTTTTTTAATTAACTTTTTGGTTTGCTATAGGAAAGTCATTTTTTATCAACGATATTTTATTGACGATTTGTTGGCTTAAAATGTGCTCAGTTCAAACCTTTGCATCTTAATGCTCATAAATAAAAAAAAAATGAATCACATTTTTAGTAGACGGTAAAAAATGTTGTTCTTATAAAATCTTTCATAAAGGAAATTAATACATTGATAAAATGTTTATGTAATAAGGCAATATTATTGTCATGTCAATATTTTAATATTTTAAAATGAAATCCATCGATATGAACTCATCCATCATTTAATAGTAAGAAATAATAACCAGTATCATATTGACATATTTAATCGAGAGGAATATTAGTTATGCAAAAATTTAACCACTTCATGAAAGTTTAATTGCCCTTAACTCTCTCGGTCTTAAAAGGATGGTATTAAGCACACCGTGCTTGAGTTGCTATTTATTAAGTGTAATTGTCACAGATATGAATATAAAAAGATGGGGGATAAGTAATATGGTAATGATTACTCATAGATTATACATAAGATTGGGTCTTGAAAGAATGCCCAACTAGAGAAAGAGCAGAGAGTGAGACACGATGGAATTAAAATAAAATTGTTGTTTGAATTCACGAAGTTTATATAAGAAGATTGAACATTTTATAATGTGTTGATACATTAAAAAGTAACAAAGACTATCCAGACGCTGATAATTAAAGTATTACTATTAATGGGATATTAGTTCAAAATATATTCGGATTTTCATGAGATGTCTTATGTATTATGATCTTGTATGATAAAACAGTCGCCACTATTATTTGAACCACTACGATTATGTTATTAGATTGTGATTGTGACATCATTATTTTATGTGATATCTCTGCAAATTTCTATATTAATATTTGTCTACTTTTGCAATTTACTCTTAGACTTATTTAAGTATTTGAGAAATAATTTCAAAGATATTTAATTTCAAAGCAAATTTCGTAATATTTTTGTTTGACAAAAAATAACGCTCTAAAACCCTCTTTCACAAAGTTTTTTAACTATGCCTTGTCAGAATTTGCTAATGATTAAATTGTTTAGAAAAGATATATTCAAAACACAATGATGAGAAAGAATCACATGAATACTGGGAACGACTTTATAAATACAGATTAGTTAAATAAATTCATTTACATAATTTGCCAAACATTTTTGAGTGCTCCTAAAATAGTTTCTGCTTCATGTGAGAATAAATAACGAAATATCGAAATATCGAATTAAAATTATATTGACATAAAATTTAAAATACAATTCGTTACAATTTTGATTTTTTTTTTTTTTTTTTTTTTAGTATTTTTTTTTTTTAAGTTTATATTTTATGTTTTTCTTTGAAAAAAAAAAAAAAAAAAATTAAAATGCATACGTTGTATTTCACTATTATACGCTAGCTATCATTTTCATCAACAGCATCTTAAATTTTTTACCGTCCTTCTTCTTATCACAATTATTATTAATAAAAATTAAAGAGCATCTTAAATGAGATAGAAAATATAAAGAATTTATGAAAGTGTTTTATGTTAATTTTTATTATTGAATTAGACAAAGAGAAATATGAGTTTTTCAAAACGATTTCGCCGTTTATTACTATTTTTGTTTTATGAGATGTTTTGATAATATTCTCCAGATTTGTGCAAAGCAGAGTGGACTTCTGTCGATAAACCATACTCATTTAGTTGTGACTATGCCAAAAATGTTTTAGATTCGATAACTTGGCAATCTCAAGATTTAATATCCAAGTATAAGTGTTCTATATACACAATGCCACAGTGTGATCCAGCTGATGACAATGTTAGTTTATATTACGAAGCGAAGATGACATCAAATGGTTCGGTGTATACAAGTGTTTTTACAATCAAGTCTGTCCCATTATTACCGTACAACACAACTTGGTTTTGTCGAGTTGATCTTTCTGATCAAACATCATTTAAAATACAATATAGTCTCAATGGTTTTGGTGAGATTTACGTTTATTTGTAAAATTTAAAAAAAATTTTTTTCTAAATGTTTAATTTTTTATTTATTTATAAATACGACTTTTATTACAGGTTGTAAAGTATAAATAACACCTATTACAGTTGTTTAAATATTTATTGCAATGAAATCGCATTGTAGATATAAAATGAATTAAAATAACTTTGATATCTTAATTTTTTCTAAGCTCCCCCTAAGACACCAACATGTGATACAGTAACTGTAGTTGATGACATCAACATTCAGATACATTGTTTCACGGAAATCGTTTTTCCAACAGCCATCTGTGATTTTTACGCTATTACTAATGTAAGTAAATCATAGTTATAGAAATAGTTTATGAATTGTTAACGCCTAGAAAGATGAAGATGGAACTGGTAGATATTAGTTAAAAAAGTTGGTTATCTTTTTATTCATCTTTTGTGTGTGCGCGTGGGGGGGTGGGGGTGGGGACATTGGAGGGTTTTCGAAAAATACTATTAATTTCCAAAACCTAATTTTAAAATAGTTTTTTTCAAATTTATAAATATATTATTTTTGAATGGTCGTGGGACTTACAAAAGGCACATCATTAATGTCCGCATCCCTATTAAATATGCTCTAGAATTTCTCTCACTGTTTCATTGATCTCACCGTTTCTGGCCAATCACAAGTCTAAGATATCTGTAGCCGTTTGGTACATACAGTTTAAATTCCCAAACAATGAAATGCAGGTCTGAGAACTATTGCTTTTATTTTTGAGGTACAATCCGTTAGACAGGCAGGCAAATCTCTAAAACATGTATCTGATCTCGAAGTAACCGTTTCTCACACACGTGATAATGTACACGCTCAGTTTCAGACACAGCTGACAACTTGATCACCACTCAGAAAGAACAAGGTTCAGGGATCAAATTCCACCCTCTTCATGTCGTAACAATTATATCCACGTCATTAGCTGTTAACAAGCCCCCCCCCCCAAATCCCCCCCCCCCCGAGACAGGGATACCCAGCTCTGTGAATCTGAACACACCTGGCGTAAAACATCGTGCTACAGGACCATGTTTTCTTTGAACCATATGTGGCAACTAGCCACATATAAAAAATGATACATATATCCCGTTAAAAAAAGTTGCACATTGTAAAATATCAATTGTACATACATTTTTAAAATTTTTTATTACGTTTTGAGATTTTGGTCATTAAATGAAAAATAAGTAATAAAGAAACTGAAAAACAAGTTTACAAAGAACAACTTTACTGAAGCTAATTATTCTAATAATATTTGATTTAAGTGTTCTTTAAATTTATATCAAAATATATATTTTAAAATTGTTAAATACAAATTATTTCAAATTATGGCACACAAATGGAGAAGTTGCATTTCTCGGAAGATATCACTTTATTGAACACACATATTAAGAGTGTAATCTTGTATTTATATAACGTCTAGTAAATGTCTAGAAAAAATAGAAAAATCTCCCTGCCTAGAAAAGATCCTTAATTATATATATAAAGTGGAGAAAATTAGAACAATCTAAAAAATATATTTTTGAAAGTTTGTCTCCTAAAAGCATTCTTTTGAAGAAATAGAACTTTTTCAAACGTAAACGCCTTTTCTAAGCCAAGAAATGAATTGGTAAAATGGAGTGAAGATAAACATTTAATCCGTAACGACAATATCAAAACAGAAATGGGCGGGGTTGAAAGGTGCTGGATCACCGTAGTTCTACCTTGCTTTAATATAAAATGGCTTTACTATCACACATCAGCCATTCAAACATGTTTGTTAGCCTGACGAGAAAAGATGCTCTACTTTTGTCTTAGCTAAAGAGACGAGAAACGATCTTCAACTCAAGAACCAACGTTAGTTTAATGAAATTGAGAAATGTCGATATATATTTTTTAGGAAAGCTTAATAGCTTCCATATGAGATGCCTGCGTCGCATCCTTGGTATTAAATGGCAAGAAAAAGTGACTAATAGTGAGGTCCTAATGCGTGCGAATAGCCAAAGCATGTTCACAATCCTTAGTGAAAGACGCCTGAGATGGCTAGGTCATGTTAAAAGAATGAGTCCCGGCCGCATTCCGAAAGACCTCTGAAAAAGAGGAAAACAGGTCGCCCACGTCTGCGATTTAAAGATGTCTGTCAAAGGGACATGAAATCAGCCAAAATACATACAAGTGACTGGGAGTGTAAGGCAAAAGACCGATCTGCGTGGCGCACAGTTGTCAAAGAGGGCGTCATGATAGCCGAAAAGCGAAGAATGGAAGAGGCTGCAGACAGAAGAGCTAGGAGAAAGGCCAAAACATTTGGAAGCACGGAACTCGTGTGTAAAAACTGTGGTTAAAGACTGTCACTCAAGGATAGGACTGCACAGCCACTCGAGAAAATGCAACCCAAACCAACGGTGATGCACCATCGTCTCACGAGACGGAAGGATGCCGATTATAGGAAAGTTTTTATAGATTCATTATTTTTGTTACTTTTTTAACAACATATGTCTAAATTTACAGTACTGAAAAGAAAATTCATGCAATATTTTCCTTGCTGTAATCTCCAATTGTATTTATCCTTCAATAAAACAAATAAAAATTATAAGTGTATTAATTTACCACCCTATGCGTAACGTACATTTTTAAAGTGTGCACCGCCTTGCTATAAACAGTGTTCATATCGCTCACGAAGAATTTCAAAACTATCACTGAACAATAATTGCTGCAGACTCTTATAAAAGGAAATTATTTTCTCTCGTGATATAGGCATTGTTCTTGGTGAGCTTTTACATTTGAACGCGGTCTCCTTTAGCATTCCACACAAACAGTTATCAGTTTGCGTAGGATCGGGAGATTGCGTGAGAGTAACACTTGAAATGGTTCGTCCTGTGAAACTTTTTGCAATAGATCAATAGATTATTGGATGCAATGACTGATCTACCCATAAAGTTGATACCACTGTCTATTAATGTAAACGTTTTTCGCAAGACAGATCCTAATAAAATCCTAATTAAAGTATTTAATCACCACGTCTCTGTTTTTTTATGTTATTTATGTTAAGGGACGATGAGAGTATCTTATCACTCTCATCATCCTCATAGGTAATAAAACATCGAGCTAAAATGGCACTCCTTTTTGTCACACATGCACTGCCTAGTGGTTTATTGACAATAACATATGGGTGTTAAAAGCCCAGGAAGCAAATTGTCTGGTAATTGAGGTAATCTTCCAAATAAGTGATACATTTGCCCGAGGACAAAAACTTCCTTAAAAAGTATCGATCCTCGAACTCCATGGCCAAAGATGCTGCACATTACACCATCCATGATCTCATATCTAGCTCAGTCAATCTTTGTCAAGCCTCTATGCGGTACAAAAATGTGGTTGTATAATTAGCTAAACAGCGAACGGGCGTAACGCTGATGTTCCTTTTCAAATAACTAAATCCTAGGTTTCATAATGTGTATTTAGGAAAATGTTGCCATTTCTCATTTCTCTAATCTGTTACTGGTAGACAAGTCTTCCTCTTATTTAAGACAGTGCAGTTCAAAATAGCGAAACTACCTCACAATAGACAGATATAGCCGTGCTACTTGTTTCCATCAATTAAATTTACATTGAAATAGTTTTGGCACCTTTTACAAAACTCAGCCCCACTTTACGCATAGTTTCGTATGCTGTCAATTATGAATTTTTTCATTCTTAGACGACCCATTCCAAATCACAACTACCTACGTTTGCTCTTGGAGCATATTGTATTTTGCGTTTTCTTTTGTAATAGCAATGAATGAGGCCCATTCCTCTGTGTTCGGAGTAACAACTGATAATTATTCTGTATTCTACACTCGTTTTATGCTTCACATTCATGATCAAATCATTCCAATTTTCCACGCCTTTAAGTTGAAACATTCATGAATAAAATCAACTCATGACGTCCAGTCATACCACATAACAACAACACAGGCCAATCAAGGTCACAAAGTTCACTCAATACTCACATAAATAATTTTCGATCATGCATGTTACAGCATAATTTGAAATTGCTGCAGATTATCAATATGTTTAAACGTTACTTTGGTTGATGCCTTAATAAATTATAAGTCTGTTTTTCTCTGTTTTTGTGATAATTAATGAAGGACAACGTTCAAGCTGTGTAAACGACATTGGTGAACACGTATGTGGAAGCTTGAAGTTAAAGAAAGGACTATAAAAGGAGAATAATGACTTGTTAACGCATTTTAGGACAATGACCATCAAGCTTCTTTAGAAAACACAAATTGATTGTTAAAGCCAACAGAACTATGTCCTCTTAGCATATGGTAGGGTTCATATTAAATTTGGATTAGCTTTTACCGTGCAAGAGAAGGCCTAAACAGTATATTCATTTTGCTTTATTTAGTACTCATGTTGTTTTTTTCTTATAATATAATCGTAGCCCAAAGTGGACTCTAGGTTTTAACTAACTATAAAAGACCCATATAAGATTTCATTTTCAAAAAAACAAATTGAATGAAAAAAACATCTAATAAATTTAGCCAACTATAGAAATGTTCAATCAAATAATTATTTGTTTTATATTTTTTGCGGGGGGGGGGGATTTATTTTGCGAAATCGTATTTTTGTATTAAATAGTTGAAAAGGTATAAACATACAACAAATCTATATACGGTAAAAGATATAAATTATGCAATATCTAACGATAGAAATGGTGTTTTTGAAACATGTAATTGCATTTCAAATTGTCATTTATTATTTAACCAAAAGGTTATTTTACCGACTCCATTCGTTGTCTAATGGTATTTTTAAAAAACGAACAACAATTGTATTCCCCAACGTTATGTTCTTTACACCTACTTCTTGCCGTATCCAGAAATTTGATTGAAAGAAATTTCGTCGACGGTAAATTGATCGACGGTAATTTGATCGAACGGAAAATGGTCGAATCTTTTTTCCGTTTTTACGTTTAAATTTGGCTTCAAATGTCTTTTTGAACGCATTATTTTGTTTTACTATATAGTACAGTGCGTTCAAAAAGAAATTTGACGAAAATTTTAACGTATGAACTGAAAAAAAAATTTGACCAAATTTACTGTCGATCAAATTACCGTCGATCAATTTACCGTCGACGAAATTTCTTTCGATCAAATTTCCGGTAACCACTTCTTGCTAATGGATAGTTTTGTTAAAAACTGAAAGTTGTATGGCTTTGCATAAGCTATTTTCGTCATGAATATAATTACAGTTACTACGTAGAATTCGATATATTGTTGCTCAGCATTTAATTACTGAACTGAAAAATACACTACAAGGCCGATTTTAGCTTTATGCGAGACATATATAACGCATTGAAAAAATCCATCTTGATATATAACGAATGTGTGGGTAGTATGCACTATTTCTATGTTTCTATGTTTCAAAATGTTGTATTTAGTCTCCATAAAGAAGATAGATTAACATAACTTTTTCGTTTATGTAACTAATATGAAGTATGGATGTTTTAAAGGGCATATTATTAAAAAAAATATACGGAAATATGTGTTGCATTGTATAACGAATGTGTGGGTAGTATGCACTATTTCTATGTTTCTATGTTTCAAAATGTTGTATTTAGTCTCCATAAAGAAGATAGATTAACATAACTTTTTCGTTTATGTAACTAATATGAAGTATGGATGTTTTAAAGGGCATATTTTTTAAAAAATATACGGAAATATGTGTTGCATTGTATTCCTGTTTTTGAATATGTTGGACATTGCGTGGTAAAAGGATGTAGGGCATTGGAATGTTAATACTGTTAAAGGAAATGCAAAAAATGTTTGGTGGCATACTTATCACCCTAAACATCCCGGTTCTAACAATATTGTATATTAAAAAGTAATACTTTATTTCTGTGGTACGGATTGGTTGCGATTTTGTTATATTGCTAAAAGTAACACAAGATGGGCCACATTGTTACAGTGGGCTTTTTGACAAGTGCATGGGTTCGCTTTTTTAAAAAACTTTACAATATATTTAATATTGCGCTAAATGGTTATTTAGATAAATAAGAAGAACATTTTTATACAATTAATTTTTCAGTTTATGTTTTTACACCTTAAGGGATAAAAATTTTGGTTGGAACATTTTATATTTAATTATTGGTACTTTCAAACCTGATTTTGTCATAGTTTGATTTCAATAAATAATAGTTTTAAAAAAAGCATTCCTATGATATGATTTATATTCTTTAATTTAGGTGTGATACTCTCTTACGAGCTATCATCTAATCAGTTCTAGGGATTTTATGTTTTGATCGAAATCAATAACAAGGAACATATTTTAATCATATTCACTCATGCGGAACTCAAAAGGAGACTACAACCAAATTTTTTTACAAATGCAACGATGCAATTTAAAAAAAAAAAAATTTCCCTTACAATAATATAAAAAATATTAAAATTATGATAATCTATAACTTAAATGAATTGCTTAGAACTATTATTTCATATATATCAAAGTTCTAATTACTATGGATATGGCGTCCCGCATAAACATTTCATTTCATTATTTTAAGTCATTCTTTCTAATAAGATTTGTCTCTTCTGACTATTTTATGTTTATACAAATGAAATGTCAGCTTAATATTTGACTTCTAAGTATCCAAATAATGGTTTTAATCGTCTTTGAAACAGGAAACAAGAGAAGAATATCTTAGCACTGGATTGATCTCCTATTACAATCAGCCATCAATAATTAATGGATACAAAAGGACAGACTGTACTTACACTGTGTCTGCTTGCATCTTAGGAAATGGAAGGCATCTTTTCAGTGTTGTCATGTATCCAAATATAACATCATATATAACAGATGAAATGAAGAGAGTGGGACATTACAAAGATCAAATGATAATAGGTAAAATATTTTTTATTTCAAAATTATTTAAATGGTAAAACTTCATGCCCACCAGCACAATAACAGAACTCTGGCTCAAGCTCACACACCACAAAAGAACACAGTATAAACATAAATTGGCATCAAATTCCTCATGAACTCTAAAACTTTTCTGTTCTTACAGTGGAAAGCCTTTAAAGCGTTCTCAACGTCGAATATTTTTGTGGTTATTTACACGAAAAGTACTAATAACATATATAAGTGTAACAGACTATGTTTTCACAAGAAAACAGAGAGGTAGCATGAGTGAACAGTGAATTATGTTGACCATGTTTTTTTCCACGAGGAGAGAGAGTGGATTGTATTTTGAGAAGCAAATGTGAGCCCCACGTTTTTGGAGAGTAAATTATGTTTTTTGGTAAAGCAGTCGTTTCCACGCTTTGCTGGTGATAAAAGGGGCAGTTGATTGAGAGTTACAGTGAGAGCAGTAGAGTTAGAGAACAGTTGAGCTGAGTTATAGCAGTGTGAAGACGTGTCGTTCTGAGTGATGGAATATTATATATATATATATGTGAAATGATTACATTCATGCAAGGATTATTATTAATATTATCAGTGTAAAGTGTGATTCAATAAAGTACTGTAAGTTTAATCAGAATTCAGTATCCTTCTTTGCGTGACTGGATAATAAGTGGAAGAATGAAGAAGTCTTAGCCGGCATCCTGAATTATTAACATAAAACAAGTGACCATGCTACTGACATAACGCACTAAGAAATACGATCTCACGCCATGAGTTACAACGATGTCAGAGCATGTGTTACAATAAGTATACCAGTGTATGTGTGCAAAGACATTAACAAGTTAATTTCCTTCTCCTTTTATAATTAGTAAATTATTAGATGCCTCATTATGGGTTCCTCGAAAACTTTACTCAAAACAGAGCATTCACAATTTTTTTTTTTTTTTTTTAAATTCTATAGATATCTGTATTTATAAATAGTTCCACCTCTTGATATGTCCCGTGGTCTTCGGCTTTTTCTATTTCCCAGTTGATTCAAAGTAAGATAGAGTAGAGTTATATCTGATTTCTTTAGTAAATGTCGATTCAATATTTATTTCGTCTTCTATAATTCCTGCAAACGTTTTACAAACATTTGTAACCGTTTGTTTTTATTGTTGCCTCTTCTCCAGATGTCACATTATTCCATGTTTATTTATTCTGTCCACTGCCACTCTTTAAAGAATAACCTACTTTGAATTTGTTACTGCAAAAATTGAATTTGCGTATTTTTCTCCCTCTCGTTATGTGACATGGTAAGTATGGACAAATCAAGATGTGAATTATGTTATATTAAACGTGTATTATAAATGTCCCCTTACAATTACGGGAATGGTGTAAATAATAGAATTACTATACCCGATATATAGTCTATGTTATGGTCTAAATATTTAAAGGATTTTGTTTGCATATAATGCTAACTATTTAAATATAATAATTTAAAGTGTTATTAACCTTAAAATGAGATCATCCTATAATTTTTAATTCGTTTGACTCGATGAATTTTCAACTTGAGAAATTTGAAAACAAATTCGATATCTTTTAAAATGAAAACAATAATATTTTATCTGATGCATATTTAAAGCGCAAGCTTAATTTATTATAATTTAACATAATAAAGTCTAAATTCTTTAAATATAATATTTGCTTACATTTTTGTTTTCTGTTAAACACAGATAACATTATATTTTTATTTTTACTGTATCAATTTCCATCAATACTCCATAATAGTTTCCAATTCTTTCATCGCTAGATTTTCCTGATGCGCCAACAATATACAGCGTAACAAACGAGGATAAACGTATAGCTTCAAAGAATGTGTTGCTTCTTTATAAAGGAATTGCTGTTATCATGTGCGAATATAAAGGAAGCTTCCCAATCTATAAGAACATACGTTTAATATGTGGCAATGTTGAAAATTATTCCTTAAAAAAGACAGGTACATATTTATATTTTTATTTTTTTTAAATAATAAATAATATTTATAAATAATTGAGATTTAGCATACAATGTAAAGTAAAATAAAATTAGCTATTAAAATTTGTGTTCAGAAAATTAGACTACAACTTAATTTTTAACTATTAAAAAAAATTTGTATCCATTGTTAATATTTTAACTTATGCTAAGAAAGAGCTCACGTCTAATCAACATGTCATTTTACAATAAAAGGCATGTTTTTTAAATTTTATTTTAAACAGATATAGATATTGTAAATTTGATTCTCAACACATCAACATTGGCAGAAAACGAAACGTGTACTTGTGAAGCATGGCGAGATGACTCCAATTGTCCACATAAAAAAGTAACAGTTAATCTCCAAATAGAGCAATGTAGGTGCTTGTTATGGCATTCAAATTTAAGTATAGCGTAAGTTTATTTAATCAATTTTTTTTTACAAATCTGTTTCACACTTTATTTTAAACATACCTCTTAATGCATATATCAAATTAATAAGTCTATTAATAACTAGCTAAATACCCCTAGAAATGGTGTCTCAGAGAACTAAAATAATAATTGATGATAAGAAGAAAAAATATGTTTTTTAAAGCAGAAAAGCATCGTTTTTGGAAATAATAAGGGTAGCATACAAGCCGTAATGATTGGTGAGTGTAACCAGGCAAAAGAATTGACAAACACTCCCTGGAGTTTATACCTTTTCATCATCTGCTTGTGAAGTCATATATGCTATTTGAAAAAGGAAGTTTGAGAACGCCTCAACCTTTTAATACTACTTGAGATTAATCAGTGTGTTGACTTGCAAGGATTGAACTTACACTTTAAGCCATAGGTGGCATAAATCACGACTGATAACATCATAAGAAGGTATAGGAAAACCTGGAAAATGAAAATACAAAAAATGGCGAACGAATTGGCAAAGAAGAAAATTTAAGATTTTATAATCTAATTAAAATAGTCTCGCCCAATCACATCTCCGAAAAAAAATGTTAAAATGTATGGAGCATTTGTTTGTTTAAAAAAAAATAGATTTGTTACCATATTTATTTGTTAAATTTGATCCTCCCCAACACAGAGCGCAAGCAGCTGCTTACTCTACCCCCTTCTGTAGACGCCCCTGAGTGAGTGAGCGAGTCTCTGAGTGGTAGTAGGCTTTTATAAAAAAATATTTGGTTCTCAAAAATTTTTAAAAATATTTCATAATTTCAAGTAATAATGATATCGAATTCCAGATAATTTGTCATAGGCTTTTGAAATAAATAGTGGAACAAATTGTGTTTAATCTGAAAAAAAAAGACTGGGCAATAAAGAAAGAGCGTTCCACTATTTCCGTCACATAGCTTGAACGCAGTACTTCATTTACCTCCGTTTATTTTTTTTTTAAATAAAGACATTTCCACATCAGCTGTTGTTTTTTAACCTTATTTAATTGATTTATATACTAAATACAAAATAATATTTTTAAATGCCCATCATTCGCAAAAATTTAATAGCTCTTAATCAAATGGATTGTAAAATCTGCTAAAGTGCCTGTATGACGGTATGGTGTTTTTATTGTTTGTCTTCTGTCCCACGTTAACGTAGAGGCGTCGTGGGGAGGAACAGTTGGCGGATTGCTACCAGGTGTGGAGATAAATGTTGTGGTCTTTGGGTGTCACAACACAGTCAGTTCACCGTTCTCTTAATTTGCGTTTAGCCTAGAGACAGAAGTGCCTGCTATTGTATGTACGATGGTTGATAGACATAGTGAGTTGCAAAACCAATTACTGTTTTCGGCCATATACTGGCTAATTGAGATTTATCTTGTTTCGAATGTGATTCTTCTAAAACCAGCTGCTCGTCTTAAACATTTTTCTAAGGTGAAAATTTTTCCCCAACTGTTTTTTTCCGAGCCCGGATTGACCAAAAAAGTGTTGAAAAAAACACATTAATAAGCTTAGCTTTGGCTTCATCCATCTTTATTCTTGTGAGTTTTAGTAGCGAATGAATTTATTAGCTGACGGTATTTAGCAGCTGAAGCCTTGTATCTTTCTCTTTATACATTTTTCCGCCTTCGGCAAAAATGCTTTCCAGATATTGTATGGGCTTCAATTCATTGACATGTATGTCTACCATTGCTTGGGTTCTAACATGACATCGGTATTAGCTTAGAATATTTTCTTTTCAAAAAAGATAGCTATATAGTATGCATGATTGTTGTTTGAATTAAATGAACTTTGTGACGTGAATGCCCTGTGTTTTATAATGCGGTATAACTTGACATGGAGAGCTGTTTTCATGAATATTTGAACTTAAAATAGTGACTATTGGTTGGAGAACTAGAGAGAGTAATCGTGTGATGTGAGGTATAAAACGAATGAGATTGAGAAATAAAAGGGAGTTGTTACACAGAAAACACTCGAGCTTTCATCATATTTTATTTTTACAATATGACTATATAGTAGGTAGCCGGTAACAAAATAATAATGTTCAAATTTCATTTATGTATTAAAAACAAACATATATTATGCTTACCTCTCCCATTCAATGAAACAGATCAAAGTCAAAGTAAATCATGTAATGAATTCAAGGAAGCTGCTATTGGACTTGGTTTTACAGCTGGCATACTTGCGCTTATCCTTCTTGTAGCTCTTACAATGTTCGTAATTCGGCGAAATAAAAGTACGTTCTTTTTTTTTTTTCGTATTTTCAATCTTAAGTTGGTATCAGAATCGAAATTATGTATGATATGTATGCAAAGTAAATGAACTATAAGTATACAGTTAATTGAGTATACGTTTTGTGCAGTACAAAGAAAAACTTAATACATAATTAGGAGTTAAATATATTGAAAACTATAATTTTGAAAAGAAAACATTTTGACTGATTTAAAATCCACCATAAAATGTAATGACATAATTTTGAAAGATATGAAAAAAATAGCACTTAGCTTTTACAATTGCATTTTTTTTTTTCATCTAAAAATTTAAATGATAATAATTCTTCTAAGAATTAGATACATGATGATATAGCTTAATTCAAAATTAGCTTTCTCATTATAATGAATGAATTATTTACAAACTAAAAACATTATAAACAAAATTTATTTATTTCAGATAAAAAAAAGAAAAGTTCAAAGATTGTAATACAAAAGTAAGCGTACTCTGTTTTATTTATTTTCTAAATTTCAGGTTAGTGTAATGGTGACAAATTACACATGCACATCATATTTTACAAAAATGCATTTGAATCTTATTTTTTCTTGCTTTAACTAGCAGACAACAAATTATATTATCCGATAAGAAATGATCTTATTGTAAACAAAACTAAACAACAATATTATGTTAAAGGAGACCTTCATTCAGCTAATCGGAGAAATAACACTACCGAAATCAATATGATATCTCTACAAAATGTTTATTGACCTCGGTAGGACTTGCTTCTATCATTTAACAAAAGTTTTAAAAAAACTTGATAATCTTTGAAAACCTATGTGACTTAGCTTTCTTTTTTCAAGCAGAAATAACCAAATCTCTTGTATGTGGTTTCCGACTTAGCCTAATGCAAATTTTCTCCCTTATGAGTGGTGTTGCCACGGCAACTCAAGTGGCACCATCTAAACCTCCATTTCATGGGGCATTTTAATAATTTATAGAGAAAGAGTACAAATTAAACTTCCATATTTTTTACAATTTTTAATGAATATATCCAAGAAGCCCACACCATGTTCTAACTATTTGTATTTTTAAAAAATAAAATTTTGTGTACATAAATGCTTGGGTCAAGAAATCATCATCCATTTTGACCTTATCTCAAGAAATCACAAACATATAAACAAAAACACTCAAAAATAGCAACTGCATCAAACATTAAGTATTTTAATTTTTTTTCTAAATGTCAGTTTTAAAATGTAAAGAGGCAGTCATTTTGATGAGAATGATTGAATAGTACTTTTAACCATGTTATTTTAGCATGCTCACAGTGCTCTGGTGTTCCAAAATATATTGAAAGAAGAAAAAATCTTGAAATATTTCTTAAATAATTTTTTATCATATTCAATTTCCCTCTAAGATTGATGCAAACTGTTCCATAAGTTAAGTGCAATAGCTTCAAAAAGGGGCACTTCGTATGACTTCTTTCTGTGTCCATCCTCACTGGTTACCTCAAAAAGGATTGTGTTCAAGAGCGGAGGTTCTGTTAATAATGTTTAAAAAATTAAGGAAAATTATTAAAGAAATTATATATAAAGTGTCCACTTAACTTCAAATATTAAATTTCTGAAGCTTTTAATTATTTTTTACATTTCAAATACCAGTAATTTTATGTGATGAAACCTACACATAATAAGAAAAGTAATCAAAGTTGCAAAAAATTCACAATTGAAAAATATCTCTCAAACTTATTTATAGTACCTTTTCTTTTTGTAACCTTATCGCTATCTAACAAGACAAATACTTGCTAACATTCCACAAAGTATGAAAAATATGACACAATTTAATTTTTCTTTAATTCGTACTGTGCCGTGTGATTTTTTTAAATTATCTTCATGTAGGTACATTTAAATCAATCACTAAACGAAACAAAGTGAAGAGTCTCTTTTATATGTATATATTTATATATATACTAGCGAGAACTCGGCATGCATTGCAATGCCACTCAAAGAAAAAATGTGTTTTGTGTTTTAACGAATTTTTTGAAGCCAGTTTTAAGAAGAAAATATTTTTTTCCCCGTCTGGTGCGTACATAAATAAATTTGATTGTTTTTCGACACATGAACAGGCCATGTACAGCTGTCCACGTGAGAAGCGTGGATTTTTTAAATTTAGTTCACACATTTGTAGCGATTAATCAATCCATGCAGCAGCTCTTTTTAAAATTATATATAAAAAACAAAGCCACCCCCCTCCCCGGCCCCAAGTGCCTAATTGTAAAAGGGTTGTAATAATTCAGAAAAAGAAACCTAATTATTATGTATTATCACACAAAATGAAATGTCACTTGTATTTTATTGAATTCCATCCACCATGCGCTAGCTCTGTTTGAAATTAAATGTCTATAGCTCCTATAATAAAAAAATTAATTTGCGGGCTTGCGCAAAAAAAATTTACCACAATTTTGTCCTAATCGGATGAATGTTATAGGAGAGCATACGGAAATTATATTAATCTCATGACTGTATGACAGAAAAAATAAAAGAATTTTGAGCTTTTGGCCCAAAACCTAATATTGTAAAATGCGTGTAATAATTCAGAAAATGTTACGGTCGTATGCTCAACAACTCATTTCAGTTTGATAGCAATCAGATGAAAGGTATATGTGCGCATACTGGACAGAGACAGAAATACATACATTAATTTTTATATACGTAAAATTACGCAACTGTTGAAGGAAGCGTTCTATCTACCATCCATCCATTCATCCGTCAGTCCGTCGATCCGCCCGTTCACCCATACATCCTTCCATATATCCATATCTACATCAATCCATCCATAATTTCATCCATCACTCTATATATGTATCAATCTATCTATCTATCTATCTATCTATCATCTATCTATCTATCTATCTATCTATCTATCTATCTATCTATCTATCTATCTATCTATCTATCTATCTATCTATCTATCTATCTATCTATCTATCTATCTATCTATCTATCTATCTATCTATCTATCTATCTATCTATCTATCTATCATCTATCTATCTATCTATCTATCTATCTATCTATCTATCTATCTATCTATCTATCTATCTATTTATCTATTTATCTATCTATCTATTTAACTATCTATCGATTTGTCTGTCTGTCTTTCATTCTGTTTGTCTATCTATCTATCCATTTATCTATCTGTCTATCTATCATCTAAGAAAGTCTTAACCCATTTGTATATTGATAATTAAACTTTTTGCTTGTGTAAAATGACTTGGATTTTTATATTCATTGGAATAATTGTGTAAATATAGTTACGTTTCGATAACATCATTGATTTTCTTAATTGGTAAAATGAGAATATATCATCTATTTCTCACAACTGTAATATCATTAGATTTAAAAAAATTGTCATCCACGTAAAATTGTACCCACCCTATATCCTAACCACCATATATATATATATACCTAAGAAGGTTAGTTATTTGTCAAATTCATTGTGAGGCGTATCGTGTGCTGCCTTGGGCAAATAAAAATTATCATCGTATTACTTCTTCACCACCCCATCCCACAACAGAGTTTTAAAGAAAATTAACAATCATCTGCGGTTATTTAACCACCTTTCTTACGCAAAAACAATTTTGTTTAAATTCCAAGTGCTTTTTCTTATTTGGATGTGAATTAGTGAATGTTTTTTGGATATGTAGTTTTGCAGGAGTAATTGCATTAAACGGCATTTTCGTATTAAAAGTATATTGAAATGGTAAGTTTTTAACTACTTTATACATTTCAAAAAAGTATATTATTTGATTGAATAAAAGTAAAAAGTTATTAAATGTTAAAAATACAAAGCTAAAGCTGTATTAAGTTTTAGAAAATTTTAGCAATTTAAAAGTATCTATTATATGTATTACTTTTACTTTCAAGAAGGGGAAAATACATTCTTCTCGCATCAAGTACCAGTCTGCTAATCTATGCTTCAACTCTTTCATTGACCCTTACTTTCCTGGCTATCTCTCTGAACTGTTGCTTCCTTACATCCCCACAAGACAACTACGCTCTTCAACTGACAATAGAACCCTCTAAATCCCAAAAACCAAAACTAAGACCATCAGTGAACGCTCTTTCTACTTACATTCGCACACGTTCTGGAACCAACTCCCCTTCCATATCCGTCATTGTGAAACCTCGTCCACTTTCAAAAAGTCCCTTAAAACCCATCTGTTTAGGTCCGCCTATGACTTATGCTGCAACCTCCTTTCCCTGCCTCATTTTCTGTCTCGGGTTGATGCTGTATTTAAGTATATGACAAAACGTGCCAAGTGTACTTGTTTTTATAGCCATTTTAATGTTTTGGCTACTGTTTTTATAGCCATTTTTCACATTGAAGTTACTATTCTAGTGTCTCTGGTTTTTCATTTTATTTTACTTTAGCAGTTTAAATAGTTTACACATTTTAAATAATTGTAAAGTGCTTAGAGCTGTAAGGTAAGCGCTATACAAAAATGCCGAAATAATAATAATAATAATACAGTTTTAAAAAACTTAGATCTGTGGCTAAAATAGGCAATCGTGCTATGACGTCATTTGCGTCATGAACTTTATTTTTATTTCGCAATATTTACATTGCACTAAAATATGCACTAAGAATAAAAGATGTTCGGATTTTTACCCATAAAGGTGATTATGGTGCAATTCTTAGAACATCATATTTTAATCAATAATTTTTTTCATAACTTTTACATTCGGATAAAATGCTTAAAATAGTTCCTTAGTTGTTACTTTAGATATATTTGTAATTTATAATAATAATCCTTAAGCTTTTGCTCAAATAAAAGCGGAAATATGATGTTTTTTGCGCATGTAAATTTATTCAATTTCCGTATATTATTAGAAAGTAATTATGATTGTTCTTAAGAATCGGAAAGTATCAAAATAATTTCGCTATTTAAGCGTTATGTCACTCTAGCTCATGTTCATTATGTAAAGAAAGTTAGACGCTACCAGCAACATTTGTAGTTAATGTATTCCCTAAAAATTAACCGAACCTTACAAACACTTTTTTCACATTAATTACTACCTAAATAAAACGAGAAATATTCAGTCATAGTGTATTTAATTTCATTTTTTTTTCTTTTTTTAAAATCTGATTTCTTCTAAAATCTATTCTGGTATGTTAGACGTTTTTAAATAGTTTTGGAATGGTTTGGATTAAAGTAATGAAAAGTTTAAAAACTGCTTTTGTTATTAAAAGATTAATGATAAAAAGTCAATTTGAATGTAACGACCCAAGGCAGTGTAAATAATCAATAAGATAAATTTAAATTTTGATGAATATATTTTAACAGATAAAATATTACAACACTGAAATTGTATCGTTGTTTTTGTTCAAATGAGATTTCGGTTTGTATTTTAAATGACTTTTAAAATAGGATACGATTATTTTATTAATCCAAATAAATGGAAATGTTTTTTAATTGCATTATACATTTTCAGCACAAAAATAAAACAATTTGAACACAAGACATTTATAATAAATTATTTCAAACAGCCATTCAGTGAGTTTTCTTAGCCAAATTGGGGACTTATTAGTTATCATTCAGATGTGTGACTTTAGAGGAAGCACACCGGTAAATTCATACATATTGGGGAACAAAAAAAATATTATATCTGTCAGTCCTCGCCCTGGTGGGAAGAATTCGTCCCCAAAAGCCCGATCCTAAGTATCTGTGATGAAGAGGGTGTTAATAATTTCATAAAATATTTTCAGTAATGTTCTGTGCAAAAAATTGTTCATTTAACATTCAATTTGTATTATTTCCAGTAATAGAGGAGATTACTCTGACATACACGGTAAGAACGTATATATTTGTAAAGTAACAGTTTAAAAATAGTAAGTCCTATAAAAATGTGTATGAAGATAGCTTTGCACTGCCAAAATTGATTTGAAGTAGTAAGTTTATTCATGCATCCTTAATTTGCTTTGAAAAAATGTGTATTTCTTACATCATTATCTCTTTTTTTTTAAAGTTTAGAATATAATTATGTCCTCAACTACTTATAATTTTTACTACGTTAGGTATTGTTTTAAAATAGGGTTTCCCAAACTTAAGGTATCCGGATATCTAAATAAACTATTTTTTGGTTTATGTAGAATCTAAATACTAATGTATACCATTGTTAAATTTCCGTTTCATTAGATAGTTATATCTTAACATGTAAACCACTCTTCTCTTTTTCATCGATTATTAACTATATATTAAAAAAAATGGAAAAAAAGTTTTACTTTATTTTTAAAATATAGCAAAACATTACTAATCCATCTCCTTTCCATAACCCAGTGCAGTATTGTCGGAAGCCAATATTTATTTATTTTCAAAAAAAAAATCATTAGATTTACATCCTTAACATTTTCAATCTTTAAATTATGGGATCATCCTGCTACCTCCCTCATTAACATCCTATTTTACTTGAACAATATTTGTGGTAAATAGTAAAATACTTCTATTCATTGTTTAAACGAAACATTTTTAGCCCAATTTTACTTTTTGACGTATTGTTATCGTAATAAAAATATATTTATCCTTTTTCTATTCAACTGAACTCAATTTTTAAAAGAAAAAGTTTAATTTTTTAGGGCTAGCTCTATAATTTTGCAAGGAATAAGGGGTATTCATCACGCATCACAAAAATATATATAGATCAGTGTGTGTACTTTGAGAAGAGGAAAAGGTAGTGGGATGTTTTACTGTGGTACCGGGAAGGAGTTTCCCCTGTAAAACCTTATAGTGAATGGTGGCTAAGGAAAAAGGATCATGTTTCTGGGATTGGTGAGATGTGGATGATTTGTTATAGGGGAGAGTAGGAATGAATAAAGATATGTTATGGTGTATTTGGGATTGGAGATAGTTGAAAAGGAAAATAAAACATTTTTGTTTAAATTGATTGTGTATACTATGTCTTAATTTATGTTACATCCATGGTGTTCTAAGCTGAAATTCCGTAATTAAATAAAGTATTATGTGCTATCATTTTCTAAAAATATATGCAATTGTGCATATATAAAAGCTATAGAAAAGAAATTTGGGTGAACCAATATAGGGTAACGTTATAATTATTTAAGTATACTTTCCATAAACGTATTGATCAATTCCTCTATATATTATATAGAGAATCCACACAAATATGAATTACCCGTTTTTAAACCAAGTGAGTCATCTCAAGAAGAGTTAACGGTGACATATGCTAGTGTACACGCTTCTGTAGTTGAAACAAGCTTCAACCGATCTCCTTCTTTGGGTTTTATAACAACGAATACTATGGCCAATAGGAAACAGGTGTATAGTAATGAACAGGATGCAGGTAATAATGTGTCAATAAACGTTATTGTTATTCATTAGTTTAAGACTTTATTTTTAAATGACAAAACAAAGTGGTCATATTTATGTTGGTATAAATTCTTTCCATGACAGAGCACACACAAATTTCAAAATAAACAAGTTGTAATACATTAACTTATTATTTTCTACGAAGAAAATTCTAGATATGGTTTAATTAAGAAAATGGGCCGATAAACAAAATGAGTTCATGTGTGGAGTGTTTTACTCGAGCAATTGTTATTTTGGTTATATTCCTCTTTAAAGGACTACAGCTAGTCATGTCCATTTACTCTTCCTTTCACACTGAATATTGTGAAGGGACTTCCGTAAAAATTACTTATGAAAGGCGTGGGTATAAATTGTTAACACAATTTTGAATATATCTGGATTGCAGTGGGCAGACATAATTACTAGAGAGAGGCGCAAAAGAAGATCCCTTACTATAATCGTACATTCCTAATTTGCATGAATCAACTGTAAGGAGCTACTGTTGTTCGACTTTAGATAGGGCAGATCAAAAAGGAAGTTTGTTACATATGTTGAAGCCTTGCAAAATTATAAATGTTTATCATAATATCATGATCCATGAGGCATTGTGTTAATGAGTGAATATAGAAACGGCTAAAAACCTCCGAATGTAGCACCATTGGCGAAAATTGGCCAGCAGGCCTTAGTCTGCTGATTACTGTTCTATATAAAATATAGGTATCCTATTAATATATAAAACAATCTATTATTTACAATAAGTATTACATTTCCATGTATCTTTAAATATACAGATTATGTACCTAAAGATGCATATCATCACTACGATGAAGCTGTTGCTGAGTATCGGAACGAGGAAAACAATGTTGTTGAAGAATGAGTCTGATAAAACATTATAATAACAACTTTTCTTTTTAAACAGCTGTTTTTGAATACCTGTGGACATTAAATGATTTAGGTAACAAAATCAATTTAATTGAACATAAAGTGTTAGTAATAATGTCTGTGTGAAATTTCAACATATATATATATATATATATTGCAATTTTATATATTGGATTAACTTTTGTAAAGTATCTTTTTAAAACAAGCATTTGATAATTAATTTATTGATTTATTCAAAAACTTGTTGTATGTACATTAATAATTCACTATTTTAAGTGTTCCTTTCTATTATTAAATATTATATATTAGAGAATATCACCTGATGTTATCGCGATAATAAGTAAATCATTATTATCAGTGACAACTACCTAGTAACTAGGGCTAGTGCCGATAGATACTCAACATAGTGGATTAGCTATAGTTAGTGATGATAGATATACAACTTATTGCGAAAACTCATCGCAACTCCTTATTTTAAAAAGAAAAATCTATGTAATGATGTTTACGTTTCTTACATCATTATTATTTTCATAAGTATTTTTCAGCTTTGTATTATACGCCTACACTACCCATTTTAGCATACCTAAACTACAATTCACTAATTAAAGCATTATTGTAAGTAAAGGAGTTCTTTTAAGCCTGATTTCAACACTAGAGAAATACTTTTTGTGTCATGTGTTTTTAAATTGATAAATTTTGGGCCTACGTGCTTGTAAAAAATTTATTTTTCACTACAAATTCTGAAAATGTAATCTTAAATTTACTACAAAAACTATATATATATCATGTAAAATAAAATTTATATAATCGGATTTTGATATACGGATATTTCATTAAATATTTAACCAAACTTTTCCCATTGCTTTGTATTATGTTAAAATAATTATTTTTTTACGATTTTCCGATATCTAAAGAAGAATCTCTGAACCATTTTTCAGAGCCTGTAACAGCATTGGGTGTCTTTTTTTTACATAAATGTTATAATTATCATAACAATATACAACCACTTTACTTTTCGCATAGTAAAACAAAAAAAAAAATTGTTTTCAGTTTTTTTTTTAAAGTTAAGCTTAACCAAATTAAATAAATTTAATTAAAGAAATTATAATAATTGTAATTAGCCCTGTTTTGAGTATCGTATTCTTTTTTATTCTATTTAAAATATGGTATCGTCTTTTGCCGGGTATAGTTTTAGAACGAGCCATATATTTAAATAAGAGATTAATATATCCATATTGATAACAGTACGTAACAAGGTCGTTTGGTTTATTTAATTCTTTTAAGTCGTAAAGATTATCTTGGTTTACTATCCCTTATTTTACATGATACATGTTCAATATTAATTTTCATTACCTAAGCTATATACATCTATGATTTTGAAGGCTCAGATTACTTGTCTCAATGGATCCCAGCCAGATTTAGTTACATAAAAATGAATCACATTTGGGAACCAACTGGGATCTGGATTCAAAATGTCGTCCAGATCCAATTGGAACAGGAATTCATCTGCATCTATGATTCCATTTAGTAATGGGATCCTATCGTGATCGTGATCCCTATGGTGTAGGAATACAAAACGGAAAGGGATCACATGGGCTCGGGATCATATCACAAATTTGATGCATTGGGGATCTGAATCCCAATGGAAAAGGATCTCTGTGGGATCGGAAATGCAAATTGGATCTGTTTGGGATCATGTTATATAATTGTGTTTTTAGAGGAGAAAATTAAAAACTTTAATACTTTTCTTAGTGATTTGTTTTTCACTGGACCATGTCAGCTTAAAAGGCTGTAGAAGTTGTGTGTTTTTTCTGAAAGCACTCCGTGTCCACGCTGGGTATATTTGCTAGTAGTCTAATAATATATAATCGCTTTGTTTTTTTATTTTTTTTTTGGAATCTGTGTTCATAATATATAATGTAATCATTTCATTGTCTATGCACTAATTTTCACGTATTTTCTTATAATACAAAAACCTTTATCAATAGACATATGAAAAGAAAGTATTGTCGGAAATAATTTTAACACTATTAAAATTACAAATGTAAGGAAGAAATACTGCAGAGACGATGGAGATAGCTTTATGAATGGTTGCACCATCACTATCAGCATCGCTTTTCATGCCATTAAATTTAATGTTAAGAGCACTGTACTTTTTTTTGTCAGCGGTTTGCTCACACTCTTAATATTTTCTCTCTTTTTAAGGTAGGGTACACAAAATGTATATATATTATGTAAATTTAATTAATACTTATATTAATGTTTTAGTTTTCTTGTCTTTGTACTGATGAAGTCATTTGCTGAAAACTTCACATTCTAATTCTTTATGATCCTTTATTTTAAAATTAACCTATATAGTTTTATTTTAAAATATTTTTGTGTCTGTCTAATCATGTCATCTAAACAGCATTTTGAAAACAAATCCTGCCAGTGAATAATGTGTGACTCAGATACAAGTACGTATAAACTGGCTGAGGAATAACTCTAAATCCATTTTGGTTTTTTGTGTACCGCACTTGCGAAAGGCAAATTTAATTCGCTAAACATTGTTCACTCATATAATGACATTACTATGTAATTCATTTTTATGTTTATTTGAAAATAGCATGTTGTTGTGATTTAAACACTAATTTTGATGCTAAAAAAAACTTTTAAAAAATTTTCTACACAACAAAATATTAAAGTTAAACAAAACAAAATTTACTCTGATTATATGGGTTAATTTTTATTTCTGCAACACATAAGTATACAACATGTGAGGAACAATATATATATATATATATATATATTCACTAAATATAAAAAATAAAATAGTACAAGTATGGTCACTTTAATTAGCGATTTGTTTTGAAAACAAATTAGATCAAACATGAGACGATGTTGATCGCCTCTGCAATTTTTTTTTTTTTTTACTATTCAAAAGATAGGGGTGCATTTTGGCATACAAATTAATTTAGCTTTTATCACTCTACATTTAATCAAGGAGCAGCGGAGGGTTGAATTTGGGAATTTAGATACTCTTGACCTGGATGAGACAATAAAAAACTTTTTTTCTTGTTGTTGCAAAATAGTCAAGATTTTTTTTTAAATTTTATCTATTGTAAACTATATTTTCACCTTATTTAAATAAATTTTTGTCAGTACACGACAAGACATCTTGTAATTCCGCCCCTCTGCTCCTCTTCCCCTGGCACAATACATGGGTTGGGACTGGCTTATTGGAAAATTAATAAACATTTACACGCTGTTGTTATGTCACAAATGCAAATAGAAGGTTTATCTTCATACTATACCATTTCTCATTAAACTGCGATACAATTTATTCATGGGACAAGAGGAGCGGTAAATACACGTTGTTGGGTGTTCGTTAAACATTTTTAATTGATCTTAGTGTTCACTTTTTATTTGCAGTTTTCCCCATAAAATCATTTTTTGGGGGTTTTGTTTACGAATGGAAATTTTTTATATCCCTGTAAAGGCAGAATTTTAGTAAACCGATCTCAACGAATGTTACCTATGCAACAACCCCTCCCAAAGGCTATGCTACTGATGTTTAAATTTTATTAGTAGATTTCTTGTCGACAATGTGTTTCAACTGCAATATATCCTCCTTCAAGCCCATCTTTTTTCCGCACACAAAATAGTTAGTTACTGTGTTGCATTTCAATCTTCAGAATTATTAATTTTGTTAACGCGTGTAAGTAACACTTTGAAATTATTTTTTTTTAAAAATAAATATCATTATTTAAATTTTAAAAAGAAATAGATTTATATGAGAAAGACTTATCGTTTTTCAAGTCTTTAACATAAAAGGGGAATTAACATTATTTTTTCTGTAAAATAATGAAGCGAAAAAATATAGCACATGTTAATAAGTTGTAACATAATTTATTTAAAAAATAAATATTGACATATAATCATGTATTTATATATTTATATTTGTTGATTGATTGCTGATAATTCTTTTTATGTTTTATCTACAGTGAAATTAGATGACTAGGACTCAAGGGTGACATTGCCAATTAAATACTAATTATATTGATGAAATTTATGTGTTTATCATTTGCTAAGACTTATTTAATTACAAATATGCTGAAAATGACGACGCAAACTTTAAAAACATTTTTAAAATGATTTTACCATAATATTCTTATAAAAGTAAGCGTTTTATCTAAGTCAATAACAAATTATGGAAGAAATTGAACTTGGAAAGTATTATTTGTTGAAACAGCTGTGCAAATGTTACCTAGTAATAAAAAAAATAATATTATTCATGGATTCATTACCTTTTAATCTATTTCTCATACATTTAAAGTAAGTTAATACTTAAAGAAATTTTATAAAAAAATGTTAAGTAATTATTTCTCTTAAAAAGTGTAGTTTAAAAACATAAAATTATGTGTTTAATAATTACATTTAAATATCTGGTTATAATTACACCTTTTAAATTATTATGGCACACATAAGCAAAATGACGTGATAATATAATTTTATATTTCTATTTTCTTAGCCATTTCGTCATTGATAGCCATATTTAAAATGTATTTATTGAGACAGCAAAATTTCATTTATAATAATATGTAATATAACATTTTATCCATACTTACCTTTATTTTATTTCATATATGGTAGATAACGGGTGATTTGAACTAATCAATTAGCTATTTGGGTGAACTGTTGATGAGAGATTTAGAATTAATTTTGAAAATCTATATAAATTTGAGCAAAAACATGTTATATGATTAAAGAAAAAATTGATTTAAATGTATTGATGATTCATAAATGTAGCTTTATAATTAGGCAAACAATAGTTTAATGCTACAAAGATAATAGAGATTTTAAAAAAATATAAAGTTTTTAAATTATTATTTACCCAAAAATTTAAAATTTTTAGGAGGCTCCGATGCAGAAATTAGTGTAGGGATTAAGTCCTTATAATCTTGATGTCTGCCATTGTTTGATGACAACTTATCTATAGAAGATAATTTATTGTGATCAGAAATTAATATTTAAAAAGACGGAAAAAAACAACAGATATATACATAAGGAGAAATGATACATCATTCAAAATAAAGACTAATAAAAGTATCAAATATTAAAAAAAAAAAAAAGACAAAATC